AAAATCACAATCCAATTGGTCAGCTGCAAACACTCTTTTATATTTATATATTAAATAATGTTAATAATTAATTAAAATTATAAAATTCTATCTATTAATTATAACCTTTGTAAGTTTTTAAAAAAATTTAAGAGATGCTAAAGTTAAATGTGGGAGTAGTAAAGACTGGGAGAGAGGAAGACTTCAATAAATGTAAAGAGAGAGACACGAGACTTTGGCCATTTTTTAACCCTTTTCCAGAGTTATTGATCCAAAATCAGATCTTTGGCTTCCTCCTTTCAATCTCCCTGCCTACCTCATCACTGTACGTTTCTCTCCTCCTCCACCCTTGAAAGCTTCCATCTTTATGATTGTTTCATCGAAAAACAATGTCTTTCGCAAATCATTGGAAAATTCTTGAAATCTGGAAATTTGGATGTTTCTGAATGCTGTGCCTTTGAATTGGATGAAATGAAGTTCATTCAGTGCTAATTGCATTTGGGTTTTTTCTTATTTTCATGTTTTCTGTATAGCATCATGAATTCTGTTCATCTATCATCGTATTGAATGTCTCTGGGTTTGGGTTTTGTTGTTCAGTTCTTGGAGGGATTTGGGAGTTCCCTTTTTTGTTCATTTTACTGTGGAGGGGGAGCCTTTTTTTTCCTGTGTTTGGATTTTATGACTACTATCTCTGGTCTATGATGTACCAATTTGCTAATCCCTGTTTCTATTTTTGTATGGTTGGAATAAGTTCTAGATTTTGTTGATTCCAAATAATTTTTTCCAGCTTTCATCTCCGTCGAATTGATTCTTAGTTCTAATTCTTCTACAGGTTGTCCACTGGAGTTTGCATTTTATGCTTTGAACTGCCTTGAACCTTTGATTTGGGAAAGTTTAAAGATTAATTGGATTATTGGGGTTTTTAGTTTTAGGATTTAGGTAGTTTATTAATAAATGAATGAGAATTTTGTTTTAATCAATTTGAACTAAGAGGGTTAAAGGTATTGTAGTTCTGGAGGGTTTCGAGTTATCATTTTGTGGTTCTCATATATGATTGAGAGAAAGAAGATGGGGCAGGCTTCAGCATTACTACTAGTTACATTAGCTCTTGGTTTTTTCTTTGCAACATATAATTTGATAGCCATGATAATGCACAATAGATCTGTTGGGCAATGGATAAGTGATGATTCAAAAGCTGGGATATTCTTTGATCCTGTTATTGAGATGCCTGAAAATGTGAAGAAGCCAAAAAATGTCAGATTGCCTGTCCATGTTGCCTTGACGGCTACTGATGCTCCATACAGCAAATGGCAGTGTCGCATCATGTACTATTGGTATAAGAAGAAGAAGGATCTGCCTGGGTCAGAGATGGGAGGATTCACAAGAATTTTACACTCTGGAAGTCCTGACAACTTGATGGATGAGATTCCTACATTTGTGGTTGATCCTCTTCCTGAGGGTTTGGATCAGGTGAGCCTTTGCATTATGGTTGTTTCTCTGGTCCTTGTTATCTGTAGAAGGACATAAGATGGCCTATTTGCTATCAGTTTTATTTCTTTGAGCTGTTCTCTATAAACTATTATCCGTTTTTTATAGATGCTTATCTTACGAAGGTTCTGTTTTCCTACTCAGGGCTATATTGTCTTAAATAGACCATGGGCTTTTGTGCAATGGCTGGAAAAGGCTACAATTGAGGAAGAGTGAGTTTTGTTCCCACCATGATTTCATATTCAACTACATTTAACCTTGATAAGTTAATTTTGGCCTGTTTCTTCTTCCATTGTTATAGATATGTATTGATGGCAGAACCTGATCACATCATTGTAAATCCCCTGCCAAATTTGGCACATGGAGATTATCCAGCTGCCTTCCCATTTTTCTACATTAAGCCTGCTCAGAATGAACAACTGATAAGAAAGTTCTATCCAGAGGAGATGGGACCTGTGAAAAATGTTGATCCAATTGGCAATTCACCTGTTATTATCAAGAAGGTGAAACTGTTGCTACCATTTGTCAAGAGTTGTTAGTTTCTAAGAATATTGTTGAGCAGTAGTACTAAAATTGAGACACCTAAACTGAGTGATTCTTTTATTCAGGATTTGCTGGTAAAGATTGCTCCTACATGGATGAATGTATCTTTGAAAATGAAAAATGATCCAGAGACTGATAAAGCTTTTGGATGGGTCCTGGAAATGTAAGCACGGAGAACTGGATAGATTTTTGTTTTTGAAAAATTTCAGGTATTTGCATGGCTATTTTTACTGAAATATCTTTTAAAACTCTCAGGTATGCTTATGCTATAGCATCTGCTTTGCATGGTGTGCAACATATTCTTCGGAAGGACTTTATGCTGCAGGTTTGGCAGTTGGCAACTAATATCCTAACCTTGTCACGTTGAAGTTGATTTTTGCTTTTAACATTTTGGCAATAAACCTGAGATACAGCATTAATAACCACTATTCTGTTTATGTGCCAGCCTCCCTGGGATTTGGAGATTGGGAAAAAGTTCATAATCCATTACACCTATGGATGTGACTACAACATGAAGGTAAAACTGTTGTTATTGATGTTGTTCAAGTAACTATGGTGCCATGCTAGTAAGATTTTTCTATTACTAACTCCTGCTTTTGGATTCCTGAGATTTCATTATTCAATGACTAATTGTTTAGGGGGAGCTAACATATGGTAAGATTGGGGAATGGCGATTTGACAAGAGATCCCATCTACGTGGACCACCACCTAGAAATCTTCCATTGCCTCCTCCAGGGGTTCCTGAAAGTGTGGTATGTTTATATAAATATCACAATTCAACAATAAGAACTTGTTTGGTTGAAAGGATAGTTTTTGTGTGTATAGTATTTTCACTTCTATGGTCAGCAATTCTTATGTTCAGCTTGATGAAGTTATTAGGTTATTAGGATAATGATATTATAATATTCTTGGATCTTACCAACCTTGAACTGAGGAACAGTAATAGGGTGTCCATGTTAATAGGATGTATTGAGTCTATTGACCTTACAGACTAGAGCTGGTATGTCTGCCCTTGCTTTTGTGCAATTATAAATTCATAAATAAATAAAGAACAAATGCTTTGTTTATTTACCGATTCAGTAGGTTCTATTAGCTGACATGTGAAAAACCTCTTACGTTGGTGTTGGCTGAGGTATGAACTTTTTGCAATGTTCTTTAACAACCAGTAGGGCTGGATGTTATTTGGAGTTCAATACTGTGCTTGGCTCATTTTTGAACATCATTATATTTGACTTACAATTTGCCTGGGGGTAGGAGTGTTATGCTATCCTTGTGTTCTGCGCTGAATTAACGGTCCAATTTGACAACAACATCTAAATATGATGTCCATAAAAGACGTCAATCTCATGCACTTATAGTGCTTTTATGACTGAACCTAATCAAGCATTGGTTGTCCAGTTATGACTCTGAGCTCTTCCCCATTCATCTTAATGTGCCATTCTCTTATCATGTCTTGCAGGTAACCCTTGTGAAGATGGTGAACGAAGCTACTGCTAATATTCCCAACTGGGATACAAAGTAGATGTGATTTAGTGAATGCAATCGAACTAGCATATGAATTTTAATTTTGAAACAAGTTTCTTGTTGTTTCACATGATCTCAAATATTTACTATACTGTCTAGAGAAATTCTTATACAAATACCTCATGCTATTATTTTTTTCCTTGGGATGCAGGCATTGTCTTGAACTTTAAAGTAAGAAATGCGTAGAACAGGGAGCAATTAGATAGAAGAAGCTTATTAGTACTAGTTTTTGTCTCCAATAAAGATTTTTCAATTAATAGTATATTTTATTTATTTGATTTGCCTGCTGATAATCATGTCTTAATCATCAAAATTATTTGATAATGATTATGGGTACGTTTGGGATTACTGTGAAATATTGTAACTATAGCTGTGGTTATGCTTAGTTATGATTGTGTTATAACTGTGGTTGAAAGTTATTTTGGTGTTTGGTTATTTATTTTTTAAAAATACTATAAATAAAATATGATAAATTTCCTGAATTTAAAAAAATAAAAAAAAAATAAAAAAAAAAACACAGTTGTGACAAAGGAGTAGTTATTAGAAAAATTGAAAGTTCAATTAAAGTTGTT